TGATTAGTTGAGCATCGTATGGTTAGCTCTGGAATAAGCAATCCAAAACTTAAAAATCAAAGACCACTTAAAATTGCTTTTTTTGAGAAGCAAAGAACTTAGTAGGTGCTTTTTGCACCATCTTATGGTATTGTAATGCTAAAAATTGAATTTCTGTTATCTTTATATTTGTAACTTTTGACAGCTTCTCTGTTAATGTAATAGTCTTTGCAACAGACAAAATAAAATATGTCTTAGTGATGGGTCAACAGCTCATAGCATCATGAAACAATTGTTAGATCACAATGCAGAGTTAACTCCCTAACTTTAATAGTTAGCTATTGCAATTATGTGGCAGAATATCTATTATGAACACACACAGCTTATCTTCCAGAGCTCTAAAAAGAGGTGTTAAAGGCACAGATGTTCTTCTGTTCTAGTGTCATTGAGATTCAATACACTGCAAAATGTTTGAATCTAACTGCTTGAATAATCAATGTTCATAGGCATCGGATGACTTGGAAAGGTTTACACAGATACACTGTGCAAATTTGTTATTTATTCCTAGGTGCTATTTTTTGGGGGGGGAAATAAGCCTCCATTGTAAAAGGCTTAACAAATTTGAATTCTTAGGCCAGATGAAAAATTAGTGTTTCATGCGATGGATTTGAAGACCTCTAAACCTGACACCATGAATGAGTGCCTACTAGTCATGCAAATGGTAAAACAAGAATGGTACGCAAGTCTGATGTAGTTACATTTTTCTTTTAAATTGCTTTGCTTTTTCATCCCTGACATATTCTGCAATTTCCATACAGTCAAACTGCTGCTGTACCTTCTCACGTTTAAAGTTCATCTCCTTTTAAAGTTCATCTCTTTTCAAAACACTGTATATGAAATTGTCAAGTTGTGACGAAGGTCACACACACAAAAAATCTTCACGCTTTTGAATATTCCAGTCAATCTTCTGAAATTCTTGCAACTTCCCAGCTGAAGAACTTTGCAAACTAGAAACACTTAAGAAAAGTGTTCCCATAGTTCATGACATAAAGTCTCCTCTTCAGTTCAGTTAAGCAAGTGGCTACATACTGTATGAATTGACTTTTAAACTGTGTATATTGTAGCAGCCTCGTATGAGATGGCTTTAGTCATGTTTTTCTCTGTCTAAATGTAACGTAAGGTCCTAATACAGACCGAAAAGCTAAAAGCTTCCTGGCTCATGTTGAAGTGATGTGCTTTGTTTAAGATAAAAAAGACAAACATTGTGGTTTTGGGGTGCTTTTGTGCTCCCTGGTTTGGGGTGTTGCTCACAAAGGCTTATTTTTTATAAAGTAGAATTCCACTTGTTACAAACCAATATGCAAAATTGCTGGCCTTGTAAAGAGTGCAATATTATATATTTTTATGTAAAAGTAAAAAAAGTGATTTTTTGAAGCAAGGAATATTTATTCAGCTTAACATTCTGGAACTATTAAAATAACATTGCAATAGTGTCTGTGCATGATGTACTGAAATTTCCTGTAAATGTCACATTCCACGTTGTCTTTGTATATACACTGTCACATTGTCGGGTAATAAACAGATCTTTGTACCAAATAATTTTGAGATTATTAGAAACATGTTTCTGGCTTAGTTGCACCTTTCTCTTTTAGAGATCTTTCACACCTTTGTCCAGGTCAATTTCTGTGATTCTCAGAAATTCTTTCTTATTTTAAAATTCATGAGGTGGAGAAGTTCTATTTATGGACTATGTCATGTGCTTGTCGAACTGAAGGTGGTGAGTGTAAGATGGAAAGTGGGAAACTCTAGGCATATCACTTTGCACACATGTGCATTTGTCCTTCCTTCCCATAGGATGCATGACTAGAATTTGGATGAAGTGATGTCTCTCAAAGCAGAGACATTCCCCTTCTTTCCCGCTGCCTCGTCCCTGAAAACCTGTCTGAACTGAAAAGGCAGAAAAGGAATTCCTCTCTGGCTTCTCTGAGAGATGGGTGGAAAGCAGGAGCCTGGGATCTGTTAGGCATCTGATAGGATGCAAGGCTCTCTCTGTTGGAAGCCAGGGTTTGGGGAGAGGTTCATGTAGCAAGGCCTGTCTACCTGACACCACTTGCAGGACTCTGGGGTAAACCCAGACCTTTTATGTTCTGATTGTGGAGAGACCTGGTGAGAAAGGGAAGGGGAGGCAATAGTCAGATTGTTACTTGTGGTGGAGGGAGGGAGTCTCTAAACCATTACTGAAAAAGGGAACCCTGATCTTGCATTTAGAGATGTTTAGGCAAACCCATGACAACAAATAGGAGAAACAAAAAAAAAAAACAGTAGAGAACTATCTGTGAAGTGAATTGAGACAATTTTCTGCAGGACGAACAGTTTCTGTGAGAAATTAAAAATACTTTTCAACTTTTACTCTGAAACATCAACTTTAAAGATCATTTTTGCATTTAAACTACATTGATCTTTGAAGAAAGAGTTGAAAGAGTTTTTTATACTGAGCAAGAGTCCTCTCCCTCCCTACTTCCAGGATTTCTTGACTACACTTGCAGGATTTACTATGCATTTTGCAGAGATAATTTTAGAGAGCAGTGGGGGAATTATCACCTGGCTTGCTACTAACAAACTTTTAGTTTACCTTTTAGTTTCTTCACACTTTCTTTTTTTTAAAGCTGTATTGGGTTATTTTTTTTTCTCCTTGAATATGGAAACAGAAATCACACTATGCTGCTACTCTATCACAAAAACAAACAACAAAGCCAAAAAACCCCTAACCCCCCCCAACCAATTACTACTTAAAATTTCTGCTTGCCTTACCTAATATTCCAGTGGATATTTTTTAAGTCTCCATATGTACAGACAGTACTATTTCCTTTGCCACTGTAGTAAGTTACAAACTACTGACAAATGACCTCTGTGTAGAAAATTATTTGCCATTACTGCTCTGGAATGGGGTCAGAAAGCCACTGATTTTGCATCTGGATCCCTGTAATAGGCTGTGTTGTGCATTTCACAATTTTGAACAAGGATTAAAAATTAAATGTGACTGCTCCAATTAATTAGACTTCTAAGCTATTCTAGACTACGCAGCAGAAAGTAGTTGAGTAAAAACAGGAGTTTGCTCATTGTTCCCAGCTTTGAGCTAGCATTCCCAGAAAAAAAAAATTAAATCTTTATTCTCTAATGCAAATTACTGAAGTCTATATAATCTTCATTAGGGGCTAGTTCATGTAAATTCAAGGAATAGAAGTTCACGTTAGCTGTATGGATATTGCCTTCAGAACCTATGGGCCAACTCTGATAGGAGACTCCTGGTTGCGGTGGAAGGTAAGAGTTTGCAGATTAAAAGAAGGCATTTCTCTGTAATTATGAAAATACATTTTAAAACAGCCATTCCCCACCCTCATATTTTAGCTTTAATAATAAAATTGTTAGAATCTAGAGGTAAAAATTTTGTGTAAATGAGTGACAACTGTCTGATTGCTAGAACCATTGAGCCTGTGCTCTTCGTCTAACAGCTCGTAAATTCTTTGTCTGGTAAACGGAATCTTTTGTTGAACATGAATGAAAGAGCAGCAGCATGAGCCAATGAGGTTTCCAATCAGTTTCTGGAACTCTAGTTAGGGGAAGCTTTTGAACTTACCTATTTAGTAATGTTTACCTTCTGCCTGCTGCATTTCCTTCTACCAAGCCACCACCCCAAGAACCATTGACTCAGTCTCAAAAGAAGCTGCCCTTGCTCCAAGTCACCTTTGAAAATGGTGCTCTTCCCTGTTCTCTTTTGTATAGAAAACAAATGTGACTTGGAAATGCTTCTGCTCTATTATGACGGAATGAGAAGAAGTGCTGATGGCCGGGTAGGAGAAAAGGGTGACCAGCATACACCCCTCCAGAAGGAACAGCACCTTACTGGGGAATAAAATAAATCAGACTGTGGTGATGGTTGTCCTACCAACATATTAATTATTTGGGATGACAATTTTTTCAGTTAAAATTGTTAATTGGCACTTTTAACTGCTGCTGACCTGTACGGGTTTTATATGGAAAAGTATATAAATATTGATCTATGAAGCTGAAGTTTTCTGATGTACTAACCCCAACAAGGTGAGTCTAAGTGCCCCTTTCCCACAGCAGTTCCTTTCCTCAGGGCAGTTTTTTCCTTCATCCTTCCTTTGTTCAGTGGGACAGGCAGTGTGGGCTCTCATCCCAAACCCCTGGGTCATGCAAGTTTTCCAGTTTGAGGTACAGTGCTGCAGGCTGGGGGTGGAGACTGGAAGGCAGCCCAGTGGGAAAAGGCCCTGGGAGTGATGGTCAACAGCTGGCTGAACATGAGCCAGTGTGTGTCTGGGTGACCAACAAGGCTAGTGACATCCTGGCCTGTATCAGCAATAGTGTGGTCAGCAGGACCAGGGAAGTGATTGTCCTTCTGTACTCAGCACTGGTGAGGCTGCACCTCCAGTACTGTGTCTGGTTCTGGGCCTCTCAATTCAGGAAAGAAATTATTAAATATTGGAATGGATTGCCTTGGGAGATGGGGGCATCACTGTCCCTGAAAGTGTTTAAGGAAAGACTGGACATGTCATGGTCTAGTTGACATGGTGGTGTTCGGTTATAGGTTGGACTCGATGGTCTCAGAGGTCTTTTCCAACGTAATTGATCTGTGATCCTGTTTGAGAAATACCTGGACTACCGCATGATCCCTAAATCCTGCTGGAGGCGGGACAGGAGGAGGCTGCAGCAGTAAAGAAAGAGGTCGGAAGGGGGCGGAGCGGGAGGGCGGTGGCAGTCGGGGCCGCGGCCACCCCACCCTGCGGACCATGTGCCCATGCTGCTGCCGGGCGCCGCCCCGGGCTGCTCGGAGCTTCCCGTGCTCCCGCCCACCGCCCCGCACGGTGAGGGGGAGCCGCAGGCGCCGGGCGGGAGAAGGTGCCGGGTGGGGCGGGATCAGGGATTGGGGCGGTGGCGGTGGCGGCCCGGGCAGGGCGGGGCGGGCCTGCTGCGCGGGGGGTTCTCCCTCGCTGCTATCGGCGCTGGTGTCCTGGGAAACCCGCGGCTGCTCTGCCCGGCATCCCGGTGGTTCCGTGGGCTGCGGGTAAACAGTGCCCGGCGGCGGCCGCGCCAGTCGGAGTTTCCCGGGTACCCGCAATAGTCGGCGCCGGGCTTTGGGCTCTGCTGTCGCTGCATCGGCAGGGGACGTCCTTCCGTGGAAAAGCTGCCCCCAAGTCCAGGTACCCCGCGGGCGGCGAGGGGGGGGGGCGCTCTGTTCTACGTGCTCGTTCCTCCGCCGCCAGCTGCCTGGTGCGAAGGCGCAAGGGAAGCGGCCGCTTTTCCTGCTGACTGGCTCGCGCTGCCGGAGAAATAACACTGCCCGTCGGCTGCTGTGCTGGGAGTGTGTTGATGTGCTGTGCTGGGAGCTGCTGCACAGCAGAGCCATTAGGGCAGCTCAGAGAGACAGAAAACTCAGAATAACAACTTGAAAAACACTGCAGGTGATGCAGTGCCGAGATTCCCGGAGGCGCTCTTCCTACCTTGTGTGTTACAATTCAGTTTAATACATTTTAAGCAAGGTTTAAGTGGAATAATTAAATTTCCTCGTATATTTCTTAGAAGCTAACAACTGTCTTTAAAAAGTTAACCAAAGAGGTAAAACAGTAGACAGGAATCATCTTCCTGCCTCAGACTTTCTGGATCTCTGGTAGTTTGCTGGGCTGTACGTGCACATAACCTTGTATGATAAATAATATTGAATGAAAAGATTGTCCTTGTGAAATGTCACATTAGTTCAACCATTGTTGTCTTTGATTTTTTTAAATGCCGAGAAGCAAGATGATATTTTTGAATAAAAATTTGGGCATAGTGGCAAGAATTTTTGGAACTTGACTGGTGGACTGGATATAGTACTGAATATGTTGGATAAGAACTGAGCTGTTGGAGTTTGGCTGGTTTGCAGTGACATGATTAGCAGTTATTTTCAAAGTCACCATGTTTATGGTATGAAAATTACATTCTTTCCTTATCATGAACCGTAGTCTTGCCTTTAATCTACTAATTTCTGCTCGTACTACTAAGCCTCTCCTTAGCAGATGGAATGAAAAGCTGTAGTAATTTTCTAGTATTTCTTTGTGCAGCCATGAGATAGAGAAAGTAAAAGGATTCCTTACCCGCCCTCTCTGTTTACAGAGCTACATCAGTTGTGGTGAATCTTGGAGTAAGAACTGACACGGCAGAGGAAGTTATTCCTCTCCTCTTTGTGACCTGCAGATAAAGGGGAAAATTACCCATATTGTATGGACAGTGATGCTAGCACAGATAACTAGTGCTCTTAGTGCAGGGTTAGTTGTTAAGTTTCTCTTGCCTAAACAGCAACTGTAAAACTCTTCTATTTTTATTCTTTTTTTTCTTTTTTTTTTTTTTTAATTTCTTTGTTATGCTAGTTTTTTATCAAACAGCTGTGAGGGTCTAAATTTTGCTGTTTGTGTTCTTACAAGTGGATAATGAAATGTGAGGATCTTCCACAATTTAGAATGTTATTTGCAGGTCATTGTCCAGAGATGATTCCTGCTAATGTCACTGGGACTTTGTTGCATGATTGGGTTGACTTTTCTATTGTGCTATATGTCCAAGAAGTGCAGAGCTTGTGTGGAAGGTGTTCTACAGAGTTGTCAACCCCAGATTTTCTCATTTAGTAATTTCAGGTTCATCACATTAGATTGGTGAAAGAAATTTGGTTTAGGGCTTTTTAGATTGAATTCTTCAGGTCACTCTTCTGGTTTTGCATTTTAAGGTTGTACTTGGAACTAGAGGGGAGGAAATTGCTATGCAGCTTTTCATTCCTGTTGCTTGTTGAAATCCTACCAAAAAGTTTGAAAATTATATTTTGCTTCTCTGTTACTCAAATTTTCAAACTTCTCCTGCATTTTACTAACAAGTATTTATAATGTTTAGTAAATGTTAGTTGCACTCCTTACCCTGGTGCAGGGTCAAGCTATACCTGCAAATATTTGTGCAGCTTCCTGGGTTATCATAAGATAAGTTTGCCTTTGAAGTGCTGTTGGGTACAATCTAATCAATTGTAAAAACAAATAAAGAAAAGTTGCTCTTCACAGGGCATTTTGAGGAGCTCTGGAGATGATGAACTTCAGCACACATGCATTAACTGCACCCAGAGAAAGGATGAAGTTCAAGTGAGCTAAAAAGCCACAAAACCCCAGAAAATTCATCTGGCTGGGAGGCTGTCAATACAAAGCTTTCAGGAGTGATGCTTTAGGAAATGATTGTCTAGTATGATGTGCCAGTCAGCAGAAACTACTTGGCTGAAAAAGGCTGTGTAGCTGCTGTCACTATTCTTTGGTAGTGTGATCGGTGTTCCCCTAATAGAAAAGAATCAATAGAGACTAGGTTAATGAATTCTGTATGCTGCACAAAAATATACTGGATAAGTGAGCTCCTATGTAATCTAGGTCCACTGGTGTGCATCAGTGACACGTAGACTGCATGTAGTCTGATCATTAACATGGTTACTGTAACTACGGTGATTTTCAGGACTTCTGTATGTCTATATCGATCTAACTTAATGGGGGGCTGCTGGAAACACAGCCAGGAATGAATATTAGCAAACCCAGCTGAGTAATTTCTGGTTCAAGGGAGTTTAGATAATTTTAAAATAGGGAGAAGTTATTCCTTTTGAGTATCAAAAGCAGTGTGGCCAGCAGGGCAAGGGAAGTGATTCCGCCCCTCTACTCTGCTCCGTTGATACCCCACCTGCAGTGCTGCAGCTCCCAGCTGCTACCCCACCAGCACAGGATGGACATCAACCTGTCAGAGCGAGTGCAGAGGAGCACCACACACGTATCAAGGGGCTGGAGCACCTCTCCTATGAGGAATGTCTGAGAGAGTTTGAATTGTTCAGCCTGGAGAAGCAAACTCTCCAGGGAGACCTTATTGCAGCCTTTCAGTAGTTGAAAGGGGCTTGTAAGAAAGATGGGACAGACTTTTTAGCAGGGCCTGTTGCAATAGGGCAAAGGGTAATGGTTTTAAACTAAAAGAGGGTTGATATAGACTAGATATATGGGGAAAAATTGTATTGTGTGTGGTGAAGCACTGTAACAGGTTGCCCAGAGAGGTGGTGGATGCCCCATCCCTGGAAACATTCAAGATCTGGTTGGATGCCCTGAGCAACTTGTTGTAGTAGAAGTTGCTACTGCTCATTGCAGGGGCCTTGGACTAGATGACCTTTAAAGGTGCCTTCCAACACAAACCATTCTGTGATCCTGCAGACTACCCCTCAGGTACAGTAAAGCTAGATGTGCCTTCCTGTGGGACTAAAGGCCTTGAGAGTACTTGAACTGTTTCTGAGGAGACGTCTTAAGAGAAAGAATCAGAGCTGTTTGTCAAGCTGCAGCCTCAGAGGAAGCACTTCAGAGGAAACAGGTCCTACAAGAGGGTGTTTGAAGGAGGAGGCTTCCTCACATTCCAGGGGATGGGTGTGTAATAGATTCTCTTGTTATTGAAATTTCTTTTCTCTCCGGAGCTTTATTTCTAAGTAAGAATTTTATTTCTTTAAAGAATATTAAGCTTAAGGTTAATATTATTAAGGTTAAAGAATATCATAGGTCCTAAGGAGAACAGAATCAGATGTCATCCTAAGCTTTGTCTGCAAAAATGACCTTTAGCACAGCCTGATTTGTTATTAAAATGTCCTTCTCTCTAGAGCTTTATTTCTAAGCAAATATTTTATTTCATTAAAGAATGTAGAGAATATCATAGGTCCTAAGGAGAGCAGAACCAGGTGTCATCCAAAGTTTTGTCTGCAAAAGACACATCATATGTAACTGATGCACAGATATGTACTGTATTTGCAGAGAAAGTAGAGGTATATGTAGCTTGGTAGGGGAAATCACTCTTACAAAAAGTTCTGGAACCAGAGCAGTGTGTATGAAAAGTAGAGATTAGATACTTAAATGGATGCGAAGCTCTTCCACAAATATGGTAGTTAAATATTTAAGCATGATTTGAATGAATGAACTGCCAGAAAAGCTTGGGAGATCTGGAATTCTCTGGACTGTTCAAGCATTTTCAGTTGCTTAATTCAGTTTAATTTACATCTCTTATTCAATATTAAATTTCCAATTTGCCTCTGGACTTGGGCTGTGGCAAGTGTAGAAAGGGCCCTGTTAATTGATTTAGCTTTGACTTTTTTTGGCTTTGTGATCATTAGAGTTTAGCTGTGGAGATGATAACAAAATTTAAATGATTCATACTTGTGGGGGTATCATTTTGTAAACAAAGCTAAATGTGTTTATTCTCATTTTTATGGATAGGTCAATGCTTAAAAGGTAGGGAGTTGTCGAACAAAAAGTCCAGAGATGAGCTGTAATTCAGAGCCTCCTCCTCTTGTGAACATCTCATATCCTTTCTACTGTTTGACTTTCCTCTGCAAGTCAAAACACATCTGAAAATTGATTGGAGGCTGTTGGTTGGTTGTGGGTTTTTGTATCGTACATGGCATTTTATGCAAAGCCAGTTCCTCCACATGTATTCAATCCTGTAAACTAAGTCAAAAAAAATAAGAAGCTGCTGTGTTCTGACACGGTTTTATTTCATCAGAGCATGCAAGGGGGAAACTTGTGTTCCATTCAAATGACACTCAAAAAACCCCTAAAACCCTGTTCTTTGTCTTGGCTAAAGCTCTTGTTTATTTGGCACAATTAGTGTATTTTAAGGTATTGTTTCCCCTGCCTAGACTTACACTAGACTTGAAAGAATAAGATTCTTTTGTTTCTTCAAATGAGTGTTGAGCATGGCTCACCAATGCATTTGTATTCCACCATCCTGTTTTACAGCATAGGTTACTGATCTTTAGAAAGGAGAAGAAACAGATGTTTTTTGCCTTGTCTTGGAGCATGTATTTTGTGAAATCAAAGCAGTCAAAAAGTTTTTCCTTCATTCTTTTTGTGCTCTAGATTATGTACTTCTGTTGAGTCTAACAGGGTTAAGACTTTGTATATACAATTTTTTTTTTACAAGAGCATTTCCTGCGTCCTACTTAATTTCCTGTTTGTATCTTATCCCCCAGTGTCTGGATCAAGTAAGCTATCAAGGTTCAAGAAGGGAAATTTGTATGGTTCTAGGTGTTTGCTTCTTATCCAGAAATAAGCTGGAAGTATTCATTTTGAAAGACCTGAGCCAAAAACTCTTCTGGCAGCAATACAAAATGCATGCTTTTGTGTGTTTTACTCCCATGTCCCATCTGCCTCTCACACCCCAAAGTGTCCTTTGCATTGCCAAACTTGGTATTGGTTTCTGACGCTTGGTGCTTGACTAATCTTGCTTCAGGTGGCACTTGTGAAGGCCATAGGGGAGTGTTTTGGCTGATTGAAACCTCAGCACCTCATCTTACTGGATAGTATAACTAGCCCAGGACGTGGTCTAGGTCGTCTGTAATCCTATCATTTTTCCATGCGGCTTTAGTCCAACTTCCAATGGCTTTTAAATAGGAACTGTTACTTGTGCTGGACCAGCGCTACGTAATGGTGTCAGCACAAGGTGGTCTAACATACAGACCACCTCTGGCATATATATTGTAAGTTATTCAAGGTGTGAATGTGGTCATCTTGACTAATCTGGTAACAGTGCTGAGGACTGTGTGATAATGAGTTGATTTAATCCCTCAGGGAGTAGCAATGCAAGAAAACCAAACACTGTCATACCTTAATTAGATGTCCCTTCCCAAGAGCTGCAGGTCTCTTAAAAAATAATGCATTCCTATCCTGCATAGTGTACTGTACCAGGTTTTAATCATCTTTAAATTTGCTAGGCATGTGTAAGCAAAAAGTTGGAAAACACTGCATTATTTTTCTTAATCTGTTACTTAATTTCTAAACCCCTTATATTGATAGTCAGAATTTTGACTCGTTCTCTATCTTAAAATTTCTCTTTGATGCTCAGTGAGAGCGGTGTGACATTCATTTCCACTGTGCACATTTCTGAACTTGTGATATTACAAGGTGTAACTGGGGCATGGAGCCAAACTGTGCAATGGCTGCAAGGTCTGTTTGTGAACAGCTGTTCTGAGTTGGCAGTCTGAACCAGGGCACCCATTTCTACACTGAAGTAATGGTCCTGTGCTTTGTGTTTGTATGTTGTTTGCAGGATTCAGTTTGAGTACTGATGATGGAGAGTGCAAATATGTAATGCAATAAGGTGCTATTGAGCAAGAGGACAGAAATAAATGGTGTCTGGTCTGTATTTGTGACCTGCAGCTTGGCAGTGTTGATATGGTGGGTGAGGGTTGGTTAAGGTTCAGAGAACTGTATTTTCAGCGATTGCTGTATTTGCTACCTGTACTTTTAAATGTTCTCAACTTTGTCTCTTCTAGGAAAAACAAAATGAAGGAACTAGTATCAAACAGTACAACCAATATATCTCAAGCCAGGAAAGCTGTGGAGCAATTAAAAATGGAAGCATACATGGATAGAATGAAGGTAAACTTAGACTTACTGTTGATATTTGAATTCACTGACTAGCTTGTGTTACAGTGTCTCTTTAATATTGTAGAAAGACTCAACCAGCTGAAATCAAAAATCCTTGTTGAACTATAAATCAATATTCAGTACTGTAAATGAGTCACTAACTCCTACTAACTATAAATAACTAACTACTAACTACTCCTGCTAACTACTGTAAATGAGCCACTAACTGGTGGGTTCTAGTGAAGCGATTTCCAAAGTCTAGCTTATAGTTTGCTCCTGTGTGAGTGTCTTTTACATCTGTCAAAAGTTATATTTTGTGAAATACTTAAAATCAACTGGCAGATGCAGGGGTGCTCTTCCTTGTCACCTGTAGCAGCTTAGGTTTCTCAGTTTTTTCTCCTTTAAGACCTGGAATAAGTCTATAAGATATTGCAATACTTTTGAACAGTGATGAGACAGGATTAATTGCTTTGATTTGTTTTGTTTTAGTGCAGACATCATTGCACAAAAAAATTGTATTATTGCAGTGTGCAGTTATGATTTTTCACACGATAACTTGTTATATGTGAAGATTTCATTTTATCATGCCTCTAAATATGTGTGGATTAAATATTTTTACTAAAGGCACTATTAAACAGAGATTCTCAACATTTTTAACCAGCAAAGTCTGTGGATTATTCTTGCCTGTCATTGTGCCTTCCACTAGGCTAAAATTTTGTGAATAAATCAAGCACCTAAAACCTAATGATGTCATAGAAAGTTTTAAGAAAACAATGCTCATTTCTTTTGCTCTTTGCCTCTGAAAATAGAGAATAATTATTTGCATTAAAAAATCCAGTCTCTCCAAGTAAGAACAGTTTCTAGTCTGTCCATCTCTGAAAAGGAATACATTTAAATTATCCGATTTTCTGCACACAATTGTACCTGAGTTGTTACAAACTTTAACTGTTTGTAACTGAGATTACTAACTTGGTAAGACAATTTAGAAATGTTGTACATTAAAATTATCATGTAATCTTAACTCAGTCTGTTTGTCCATCCGTCCTGTGTGCTGAAATTTTGCATGTAGTGAGCATGGGGACAGTAGCATATAATTATGATTTTTAAAATAGTATCAGATCACAAACTCACTAATGGGAAATGTGTTTCTAATTCAGAAATATTAGTACAGTCACGTGAGTGGTCAGTCTTGCTTATATGAAAACAGAAATTTCAGTCTCTCTATTTTGTGGCAGTTTTTAGCAATGTGTTGTAAGATCACTGAGTTTGCAAAAGTGTAGTTTCTATCTTGTATCTTACAAATTCATTCCATAATCTGTTCACAGGGACAGGTGTTTCTATTTTCTGCAGTAAGGGAAGTTTTATCTTTTCAGTGTTCAATGCAGTTAAACCATCCCCTTACTCAGGTCATATTGCAGTTGCATGAACAGAAGTGACCAGAAGGAGTGGGTGTGCAGGAGTGGCAGAGGAAAGGGTTGGAAAAATGTGGCCCAGTTTATTGGAATTTGAAATCGTTAACACTTAGTAGATTGTCTTAAAGTTGCTTCTATATATTCAGTGGTAACTGTCACTAACCACGTCATTAGCTCAGTTATGCAGATAGGTTCATTAGTTAGATGTATAACTTTCTTAATTACATATGCAAGAAAGACATAGGTTATTTTTACAGTCAGTTTAATTAAAAAGAACACAGTTATTAGCAAGTGTGGCAGACCTAAAAAACAAGATAGCTTGAAAGTGCAGTGACTTCACCTTTCAAGACAGCTTGGGACCAAAAATGCACCACAGAAAATCTGACATGTTCCAGAATTCTGAGGGTTCCTATACTAACATAAACTGAATATAACCTTTCAAAATGTCTTGATTTCTAGAATTTCTTTGAACAAGCATATGAAGGATTGTGAGAAGAGGTTGATAGGATTTTTATTTCTTCAAGATCTTTGCTTTGCTTTTTAACCTTGAATCAGCTAAATGTGTGTTTCAGCATAGCCAGATTTTACCAAGAGACTTTCCAGTGGTTTCAACAGGAGATTTTGAGTTCTCGGATCATCACTGTAAAGGGCAGAGAAATGAATTTCCTTCCTTTTTTCTGGCATTTTGCATCTGATTAAACTAGTTAGACATTTAACAAAAGATCACTGCTTTCCAAATAATTTAATTAAATACTGTTTTGCAAATAGCTGTAGCCAAAGAGTTATTCCCATAATAGGCAAGACCACATTGCAAACATTAAAAATGTGCCTGCATTATTGGCCAGGGAAATCAGAAGTTCTAGCTCATTTTTCTACTACAGAGGCAGTTTGTTTTCCATGGACAGTAGCTGCTGTAAGCAGCAAGAGTTGGGTCTGCTCAATTAAAATCTTGTAGTTAAAAGTATAATGATAGTTGCACATTCCCTGCTGTGTTCTGGATTTTTCAACTGATTTAAAAATCAAGTCCTTCAACCAGTCAGAGCAGCAAGCTGTGTTCTGAGCAAGCTGTGTTCTGAGATTCCACAAAGACAACTCGCTGTTAAGGTGTGAAAGAAACAGGACAACTTAAAAGAGCAGGATGAAGTTATTGGTGTATTGATTGTTAGTTGGAAGGAGTATTACTGTGGTTCTTTTTGTAAACTGTAGGAATCCCAGAAGGATTGTAAATTGAACCTGCCTTACTTACCTGCCAAAGGAACAGCTAGAGTTATAATGGAGAAGTAAGTAGAAAGCAGGAAATGCAGATTCCAAGCTAGGAAACATCAAGTGAAATCAGATGAAGTGGCCTCATGACTAGTAGAAGAAGATCTGCTAGTAGAAGAATGTGTCTTCTAAAGATCTAGCAGTAAAGTTGAGAAAGCAAAGATAATCCTGGTGTTCATCAGAGTTGTCCTCAGAATAAGGCACTATTTAATCTTCTCTTTGCAAGCAGAAGAGCAAGAAAGAGTGCTCTGACATTTAAGAATCTTGGTATATCAATTATTATTCCATTTTCTTTTTCCTTAGAAGACAGGAAGTATTCCTAACTGGTCCTGAATAGTATTGGGAGATAAACAGTGGAATTGCCAATAAATGTGTGTGAATCTCTTTGTTTTAGATGTAAAGGATAAGCAGAGTGGGTGTCATAGTAAGGATGGTAATTAGTCACAATCCATGACAAGACAGATGACATAGTAATTGCAGCATTTTGCCCTGTCATTGAAGCTTATAATTATTAGTGCAGCTAACAGGATTATGTTCTAACTTTGGCTGTTCTTATCACCTCTGTTATTCTGAAATATAATGGTCAAATTTCACAGTCCTCCTGAGACTAATTCTTTAAAGCATCAGGGTTGAATATTTTGTTGGATTTTTTTGTTTCCTTTTGGTAGTTTGACAACAAGATGTATTTTTCACTAGAGAGGCTAAAAATAATTGTATTAAATGTTAGATCAGTGTGATCCCTATATACTCAATCCCTTCTATCCATACACTTTAAAAGAATTCATCAATCAAACTGGAGTCTGATTTTTTTTTCTTTAGCCACTTCTGCAATATGTGTAAATTACTTTGAATCTGCAGACCAAGCTGTATTGTGTAGGAGAGTTGACATGATAAATGTGTTAGTTTCATTTGAATATTCAAGTTACATGCATTTATTTTAATTCTTAATAAAAGCTATTCTGAAACTGTTCAGCAGCATTCGACTACAAATAACCCTAAAGGTGAGTAAAAGCTCTGACAGAGCGGCCTCCATTTAACTCCTTCTGTGGCACAAATAGGCTGATCAGCACATTATTTTGTACACTAGCAGGGTGTAGCCCTGGCTATGAGGCACCTCTGCCTGCTGATGTGTGCTAAAGCAGCATCTCTGCTGGAGCCTTAATGCCACACTCAATGCAGGGGCCTTCCGCCACTGTTGTTCCGAATAATGACACTGAGCAGAAAACTTGCTGGAGGCAACATTGTATTTTGCTCTTTTTTTGGCCACAGTCCTGACTTTGCCAACACTGCTCACAGCCGCAGGAACCCGTGTTTTCATTGCTCCTGGATTGTGATCAGCTAATTTAACTCCCTGTAGTGAGTGGTCATTATTCCGCTGTGCAAGCCTAAGTGACTCCGCTTTTAGTGAAGACATGGCCGTAATTTACTTTTATAACTGCTGTAATCCCAGTGGGAGGATATCTCCTCCCAAACTTTCTATTTGCTTAAAGGACGAAAATATATGTCCTCGTACAGGTTTTGTTTGTGACAATGTGATCGTGTTCCTCAGTTCCTTGTTGCAGGTTTGTTTTTTTACTAAACTGTACTATGGTTTGTTTAAAAGCAAACTAAGTTGGGATTTAAACACTCTGACATTGAAGAAAGTGTTGCTCTGCTTTATGGCATTGCTACTAGCATTAGAGGACAAGTTAGACACAAAAATGTACGGTGAGATTTTGCTAGTGAAAATCATTGTTACATGATATCAAAGCACAGTAAAATGTAGAGAAATAGGAAATTATATTACTGGGCTTATCCCTTCAAAGAATGATGATTGAAATTGTACTTCCATTGAAAGAAAAGCAATATACTTGGGCTGATATTGCTTATCAGTGCATGGAACAAACAAGATCATTGTGGGAAAGTTGGTCTGTTTAAGTCCAGAGTTGGTTCTCTGCTACTGTAGGCTCAGTTTGCTTAAAAAGACTGTTGGTTTCATGAATAAAATAATTTACTCATTAGCTTATTGAAGGTGAAATGTGCTGGGCATCTTTAATAAACCCTGTCTCTGGGACCAAGAGAATCAGACTAGCTCTCCATTAGGTTTTATGGCACTAATGTTTATTATGACATTGAGCTTTTGTGGGCACCTGTGGCTCTGAGTTTGATTTGCTCAGTTTGAATGTAAGAGTTCAGGACCAGCTAATTAATTAGAGCATAGATCTCTCTTAATTTGAGACAAGCTTAGATAAGCTTGAAGGACAATAGAAAAGTGAAAAACCGTATGTTAAATAATTATGAATGTACTGATGTTTATGGTTATCATTACTTGAAAATACTTCTCCAAAATGCTGGGGTGATACATTCCTCCTAACATTACTTGAAATGTGCTAAACTCCTCTTCAGTGGATAAATTCTATGCTAGTTTATATTTTGCTGAGGTACAGCGTACGTAGTTAGCAAAGAAAAGTATGTTTCTGCCATTTGATCTTTTGAGGGCTTGATAGGAATTTCATACTCTGTCTACACTGTGCCTTTCTTTGAATAATCTTTTTAAAAATTCATAAGTAAATTTAAATGAAACTTGGGAATATGTTAGGATTCCTAAGTTTTCTGTTTGATTACAGATCTGTTTGATCTGTTGATTACAGATCTATCTCTCTGTTCTAGACAGTGCCCTCATACCCTAAGCCTCATTTTTTTGTCATTGCTTAGCAAGTAGCTAATTGAAGTATGTCTGAAAGTGATTACAATCCTTTGTACTTTGTAATTTTCCACACATAAATGTTTTACCTGCTTCTTTCTTGAGAAGATTTTGTCCTTCTGAATATCTCTTCTGATTTGCTCAGTTTAGTGCTTCGTTTTCTGCTTTGTGTGTGCCCAGCAGTCTGTTGTTCATATGTAGTGTCTCTGCCCACCCTTTTGACTTACAGGATAACTCAAAGACAAACTAATTTTAAATAACCTAAACACCCTTGCCTCTTCCACTAGGAGGATAGTCTATACTGTGATGCCGGAACACGGGTACTTTGTGGGTTTAAACATTCTACAAAGATATGTTTTAGTGCATATTTAAGAAGTTAAAAGTCTGTTATTTTCTTCCAGGAGTTAATTTAAATTTTATGTGAATTCTGATTCAATACCTGTTGACTTCATAGGTCTCATCTGAAGCCTACTACTGGCCAGGCTCATGTCAAAGCAAGTAGGGTGTGGGGAAGCTTAAAGCTAACGTTGATGACACATCTGCTAGAAAAATACCAGAAATCTAATTTGTTTTTCCTCTTCACCATAATTAAGCAAACGTGCTGACCTCAGTGTTTGACTCAGGAGAAGCTGTCATGTTGCTCAGAGAAAAGACTTTTTTGTAAAGATTTCAGATTTCATTTTCTCAGACTATTGAAAACACATTAATTCACCAAAGCAAAGAGATACAGATAGCTGTGAATATCTTGCTGACCGAGCAGAACAAAAATATTTTGTGTGTGCATTCTGAATACTTGAAAAAATAAATGAATCACAGTGGCCTAATGTCACAGATATTCATATGGCACAAAGCTGCAAAGGTTACAAAGTTTAATATTTCATTTTTTCATTTAATGCAAAATATCTTGTAGGCAAACACACTGCTGCATTTTTGTATGACTTTATAGTAAGCATAAACCAATGTCTTGAATTTGGAGACTTGAGAATTGTTTATTTTAGAAATATAAAAATTTTAAGGTAATGCTCAAGTTTTAATGCATGCTATGAATAAAGTAACTTACTAAGCAGAAGCTAATTGGTCTTACTTCATTGAAAAGAACCGTATTTAGCTTAAATGACAGCTATGACCCACTATGTTCAAGTTGTGTTCTTGATTTGTTATTTCTTTTTAATCCCATGGTTATGTGCCTAAAGAACTTTTTGTTTGTTTTGCATCCAGAGGAGCAAAGGGTAGAAAGTGTTTGTGGAAAACCCTACAACGAATGACTGGGAATAAGAGCTGAAGCAGGTGCCTCTACAAAAACAGACACTTCAAGGAGAATCCATATTGTTTATGGATGGTTAGCATATACATGTTTTAACGAGTATGTGCTCTTGACCTCCTTCTGATGGAGAGGAACAGCTGAACATGAATCATATAAATTGATACCATTTTATGTCACTATGTTAGATAAATTTATGTAAGGGTTACTAGGCCTAGTAAGAGCAAATGGAGAGTTGTGGTCTCTAATAATTTAAAGGATAAAGCAATCTACTCCCTATTTTATGATAGCTCCCATTATATTTGTTTTTATGAAAAATATTTATGCAATGCAGATTGGTTCAGAATTACGTGTTACAGTAGTTCTCTCTTCTCTTCTATTAGGTGTCCAAGGCTGCAGCAGATTTATTGGCATATTGTGATGCGCACATTGGAGAAGATCCCCTTATTATTCCTGTGCCTGCATCTGAAAATCCCTTTAGGGAGAAGAAACTCTTTTGTACTATCCTTTGAGTCCGTTTTCAATTAAAAATGTCTCCTGCTAAAATTTGGTATCAGTGTTGCATGCTTTTAGCATTTTTTTCTTCAGATATCTATTCTTACCTTATAATATTTTTCAAAGGTAGTGCATTTTCTGCTAAAAAAAATTAAAATTAAAAAAAATCCTAAAAAACTCAAGGTGATACTTATCTTTGAGAACAATGTACAAGTTTAACTTCAGTTCTTCATAAATATTCTTTTGGTCTTAATGAAAGTATCGAGTACAGTATCAAATTGTAGATATCTTTGCCAGTCATAGATTTTTTCTGAGACCTAAATGAGTCATACCAATTCTTGAAGCTATTTTTAACATTCTTATTTTCCTTGGAAGGTGAATTTAATTCATTTGCCTTTACAAATTTCTATCTAAAGAGAGCAGTGTGACCTCTGCCTCAAGTAGCACTATTTAGGGAAAGATCCCAGTAATTTACAATGTGTGGAATGATTAATCTTACACAGTAAGTGGTGTTTTCTGAAGACTGTAAGAAACTTAACTACAAAATAATAGTAAAGCAACATTGTAACTACAAGCAGAATGAAGATGTATAGTTACACACCAGGATTGAATCAATAAAACTGTAGAAAAAGACGTCTGCTTGTATCTTATTTTGAATTATAATACTTTAAATTATTTTAGAAAGTAAATGGAACTGTAATATAACTGTTCCTGAGGGTCTTAGTGGAGGGTGTAAAACTGCCCTGAACAGCAAAGGGAGGAGGATTATATTTTCTGAGCAGCTCTCTACATGCTTTTGCCCACAAGGGTAAGACTTTATGGGGATGGACAGTAATGGTAAATGAATGGTGTTCTAGAATATGCAGCAAGACCACTGTGCCATTGACGGCCACTACGTTGGTATGTTTTGTAGCTGCAGATTAGTTCAGTTGTCAGCGAGTAATTTACGGAGGTTCAGGGAGATTTTTTTTGTTTTGACTTTGTTGAAAGTGCAGTGAGAGGAAAAGAATGAGGTGTGGAATATGATTGCCTTCTTCAGTTAGTAAAATTAAGCTCACACAAGGCATCTGATGGAAGCAACTGTTACATTACAGATTGGGTTTTTTTATTCCTCTTAAAGAATAATTGAAAGCTCCTCTCTGATCTGATGTATTAGGACAGTTCACTCATTGCAGTACTTCTTACGTACAGTGTGTCTTCTGCCTTATGTCTGGGGCTGACTGACAATTTTGTTGGACGCCTGCGCTAGTTCGACTGACTTGAGACTCTGAACAGCCACCTGTAATGGATCATGCTTCCTCCCTTCCTCTGCACAAAGTTGTATTCCATAAGCATCTTAAATACCTGCAAGGCAAAGACCAGCTGAGGAACTGAGGGCTTTGAGATGTACTTAAACGTTCAATGTAGATGGTTAAAAAGGGCAGTTTGGTGAACAAAGTCATGTGCATTTCCCCAAAGTGCATGTACCTTCTCCAGCTTATTTTTAGCAGTTTCCATCAATGTCTGTTGTACTGTTTTGTGCAATGAAATACAAGATGACTGCATTGTACAGGTTTTGTTTTCTTTGCCTACCAACTTGGATAATGTGCTGCACCCAACTGCATTCAGGTACCAGTCTGGTCACATGAGACAGGTGGCTTTGGAACTGTGGTTCTGCTGCTGGCAGAACTCACCTCGCATCTCACACAGAACCACCTTGCTATATTCTTGTAAAAAATGATACAACAACATTCCTTTTAACCAGTAGGCTTTTGGGATGTCTTTCATTTAAATATCTGTTTTTTAGTTTGGCAGCTGAAGACATCAGCAGTTTGATAGGCATAGAGCTTCTTCACAGTACCTTTGCTGAAGAACATTCACATGTCTTGAACAGGTCTTATCTTGGGGTGGTTGATCCTTGGTTCCTATTTCAAAGTTTTCAGCTGAAGATTCCCATTCCTAACTTTTAATAAGAACATTTCTTAATGCGTGGTGTGTTTTCATTTTGGGGGTAGAGAAATAGGCTTTAGCTAACTGAGTAGCTGTTTTATTGACAGTGAAATAAGATTGCCTTTCTGAAAATATTTGTTAAAAGGGAGCAACAAAATGCTTAATGATGTTCTTTAGGGAATCCTTCCTACAGTGTACATGATTTGGTAACTGCTCTGATCACCATGGCAACATTTTCATTTGTCCTTCCGCATGTATGACTTTAACTGGAACAGCATGGGAGGGGAATATAGGGCATGCAGGTTTATTCTCAAAGGCTTTGTAGCAACTCACATTTGTGGATCATCATTTACATTCCCGTCTAAAATAACAAAATTGCCACAGCTTATTACAGTATTGCAAACAGCTTGCTTTCTGTTTCCAATTACAGTTAGTGTCTGATGTCCTGAGATTGAAACATTTCACAATGGTTTTGAGCATCACTAGTTACAAGAGCTGCATTTACAAAAATCCAGAATTATTACTCTGAAGAGGAGAGTGTCATTATTTTGAACTCCCTTTTTTCTCTTAAATTTTTCTTGAAATAGTTGTGAGTGTGTTGGACTTGTTTGTGGTTTCTTTCATTCATTCATAACTTTCAGTAGGTAAAAAAATTCATATCTATTAAGATGATTTCATGCTTCTAATTTAAAAAAACCTACAATAAATTGTAGGAGTACAATAAATTGTATATTTATTTTAGCAGATATCTATAATATGTTTGAAGAGGTTAATATGTAGAAGTGTAATTCCTTAGTAGAAAACAGGTCAGCTTTCTCTAGTATCATTGGGCCTTATTTAGCAGTTCCTTGAATGAATACATACTACTGGCAAATTACTAATTTGAAGGGGAAGAGGGTGAGGCACACTTGGAAGATCAGCAATTCAATGCTTTGGATCACATATGAATATAATACTTTATTCAAGAACACCATCTAAATACTGACTCTGAAAGAGAATGGCATCGTCTGGTTTGTTGTTTGGTTTTGGGTTTGTTTTGTTTTGTTTTGTTTTGTTTTTAATTTGAATGCCAGCTTGATCCATGAATCAACATTTAAAAAAACATCTTTTCCTCCAATCCCTCTAAGTCTTTGTGATTATTATATTTTGTGCTGCTTTGGCCTTTGAGATGGTTTAGATAATTGGCCACTGATACTTGAGTTTCATGCTGAAACGTCTTGCCTCACCTCTACACAAAAACATCTGAATGTTTTTGTTCCTTCTTCTAAATAATAAATATGTATTATATCATGAAGTATAGCATAATATGTAAAAAAAGCTCTCCAAAATGTGGATTTGTCTAATGGTAAGGTTTTCTGTAGGCTGAAGCAATGCGTTTTTATTTTCATCAAATAGTCTGACTTGATTCCTACTAACTTAAATGAAAACAAGACCAGGCCTGCTAGCATCCTAATGTTGTTCTTCTTCCTCTCTATTATGTACTAAATTCCCCTTCTTTACTTCCTACACGATGTGTTAAGTTAGTAGCAGGGTGCTTCGCTGGTACTGATAGGCAAGATTTTTAAGCTAGCCTGTAAGAAATTACGATCAAAGGAGGGGAAAAATAGGGAGGGGACTTTAAGCTATTCTACATTACAGCACAGGTTAAAATAAATATGAGCTTTTCTGTCAGTGACACAGGGTAAACACAGGAGTTGTTGCCAACTGATTCATAAGGACATCATAACCAAGCATTTTTGCAGTGACTTAAAATAGGATCAGCTCCAGCAGAAGGAAAGAACACTCGAAGAACAAGTCTGTAAAGGTGCATATTAAAGCCTGGAACTTCAATATGGCAGTCATTTATCCAGTTGAATTTCTGATGTCAAAGGAGTAACAAAATATGTACTTTAAGAGGACCTGATTATATAGAGTTTTTCCTATCTCTTCATTATAATAGGGATAAAAATCTGTATACATAATTGTCCTAGAAAATGCCATAGTTGTGGCTCTCCTTGGGACTGCGTTAGAATCTGGATTTGTTTCTTCAAGAAGACTAAAGAAAACTTGGGGGAAGAATGGTTCGTAAGAAATACATGTTCTTTGTACTGAAAACTATTACTTAAAGTCATTAGACTGACTTAAATATTAATGTGCAAAAAAGTGTGTGAAAAATAGTAAGGAAAATTATGAGAATTTTACAGGCATCTCCATATTTAATCTTTAGGGAGACTATTTGGAATAAATATTGTACATTTGCATCTAATTGAATTCAGCTTTATAGCACTGTCAAATTAGGTACAGCCATAAATACCAGAACTGGTACGGGAACAACTTTTCTGTCCATTAAAGAAAGATGTGTGTCTGAGTTTGTCAAGTACATTTACACCACTCACGCTTGTGAACAAACAAAATGAGCAGCCCTACCCTAAAATAGGGTCTTCTCTTTCCCCAATTCCTATTACAAGTAGAAATTGCACAGGCTTGTCTGTTACTGCCACCTACTGATAAAGTGATGAACACCCGACTGAGACAGAAAAAAAACCCCAATGCCAACTAGTAATGACCAAAAGGGGGATTTTAAATTAATACATATACTGTCATAGAGAGCCAGGAGTTCTGTTTTCATGGGCTGCATTGTATGAAGTATTTCCTGGGGCTGTGGCACTGCTGGGGTGCACATCAGTGGACCCCATGGAACCTCATGCTTCAGTTCCAGACTGCTTGGTTTAAGAAGACACAAAAGTCAAATAAATTTTTGGTTAAATAGGTCAGGTGTCTAGTTAAAAACCCCTTCAAAAGTTGTGGAAATCTTTGAGAGTATCAGTTGGAGTTGCTGCGTATTCCCTTCCTGAATTTCATTTTCTAGTTTCACAGGTAACTAACTTGGGTGCCTGTTCCTCATTGTCTCACTGACACCAGGTGTGCCCTTTGCTCCCTTGAGCAGGTGAGGTGGCTGCAAATGGCAGTAAGGCTTGGCTCTAAGGCCCGAGCTAGCCCCCAGCCCAGTGAGCTGCTAATGATCTCTCCTGTTTGCCTTCCTCTCCTCAGAACTGTGCAACAGCTCTCCTGTGACTGAGTGCTGCACTGTTCTTTGCACTCAAACTGCGCTCCTGACTGTTGGGTCTTTTATTTCAGGATGGGTCTTTTTTTCCAATTACCATAGTCTAGGCTAAATACTTCCTCATCTGCCACAGCACAATAATACAACCAGAACAGAGCTTAGGCCACTGCTTATGCTTAGAATGGCATTTTATGGAATATACACTAGGCATGGCATAAGGATGTGTTTCAATAGACCACCCATTCCACAATTTATTTGTTGTGTAGCTTCTCACTGTACCATACCCTGTTGTGCCTTTGAGCTTTAGGTGGCATCCTTGAGCCCTTCATTCTCTCTATTGCATACTTTAAAGAGATGCACAAATTTTTTTCAGTGAAAGGAAGGAATGAGCCAAACTTGATAGAAAAGAATCATTGTGACTTTTAAAAAACTTCCAAATGGCAATGACTTTAAAGATCTTTGCAGTGTAACAGCCTGTCTCTGGCAAGTGTGGCTCACATGACTTTTCATCCTTAACTTTCTTGTTGCAAAGACTGTTCACTACCAAGGATTCTTGTCTGAGAATCTTCCCCCCCACCCCCGGAGAGCACATCAGCTTTTATCCTGCTCATCAGAACACAATATAAAGATTTCCAATATATATATCTGCAGTGCTGATATAAACATGTTAATCATACCCTTAAAAGATCAAGTGAGAAAACTTCAGATGCTAAGATTCTCGTGAAAAAATACCTCAACAGAAACTCTGAGAATGCAAAGAATGCTATAGCTAACAGCCTCTCTGAGATCTTCTCTTCTTTCTCAAAGTTCACATGCTCTTTTTGTTCTAGGAGTTTGCTTCAGACTTTGGAAAATTACTATAGAGAGCAACTGTGAAATATCTATTCATAAGAAATTAAAAGGCCATAAAAGTGATTATATTTCTTTACAGTTCTGCCCATACCAGCTAAACAAATACTTGCATCAAGGATGTGAATACATTTGAGGACATTTAAACAGAATCTGGATAAATGAAAAAAATCCACATTAAAATATCATTAGAGAAGCCAATTTAAGCACTCATTTAAGAAATGTCAGAGTTAAATTTGCTTATGCATCTTTTGTTTGCCTCCCTTATTTGTATGTACTACTATTCCAAACTGCCATTGCAGGAATTCCTGCAACGCACAGTATAGGGAATGCTCAGTTAATGAGCAGTTACTTGGTAGTTTGGTGTCATTATTCATTGTGTAGCCCTGGGCCTGATTTACTCACAAATTCTGCTTCTACTGTAGAAGTGTTCCCTGATGACCTTCTCCATGGTGCTCATCATAGATTCCTTCACAAAGTATCTCCACAATATCCTTGAGGAATATGAGGGTGGAACTATTCTCATCTTACAGTGGGAAGCTGAGGCAGAAGCTAAACAGAAGGGGTGAGATTGTGAGTAGCTGCCACTGCAGAATAGTTAGCTCTTTCAACATCTCAAACATTTGTTCAGCCTTCAGCTATGAGTCCTCAACTCTACAAACTGGAATGACTTTTACAAGTCAAACGCAGGGAAACTATGGGAAAAAAAGCAATGTGAAATGTTTAGT